ACGCACACCCCACTTTGCAGTTATTTATTTGTAAAAAATGTTTGGAATCATGTATGATTTTCGTTCCACTTCCCACGTGTACACCACTTTGTATTGGTCTTTCACATGGAATTCCAATAAAATAGATTCATGTTTGTGACTGTAATGTGACAAAATGTGAAAAAAGTTCAAGGGGGCCGAATACTTTTGCAAGCCACTGTACCAAAGTATTCTAGAGTCGAATGTAAAGCAATGTGTCCGATAGCTAACGCTTGGCCCAAACTGGGTTTTACATCAGAACAATGGGCACAGCAGCAAATCTACAACAGGATGGCTGAAAAAGAAAATAATCAAAGTGTTGGAATGGCTCAGTCAATGTCCAAACCTTAAACTGGCTGAATATGTTGTGGAGAAACCATTGGAGATCTGAACATCAACAAATGCCTGCAGACCTCAGTAAACTAGAGCAATGTTGGAAAGAAGAAAGGGCCCAAATTCCTCTACAGTGATATAAGAAATTGATGAAGTCATACAGAAAATGAGTACTTCAAGTTATTGCAGCTAAAGGTATTTCAACAAACTATTGAATTATGTGGTGTACTTACACACTCTTTCTGGGGTTTGTCTTAGTTTCTATTGATTAAAAAATGACTCAGTGTAATATTTCATGTGTTTTTGCTAGACCTGGTAGGGACTAGATAATTTTTTTATTTTGTCCCAATAAGTAAAACCTTAGAGGTGCGGGGATGTTTATCTATTTGCAGTGACTGTAAGTGGCCAGACAAAACTGCAACTGGCGTTTTAACCATGACTGTCTCAGCAGTTTTGCTTATTTTCTTGTCTGTATGTGTTGTCTTCAGCAGAGCTCATGTACACTGTGGAGCTGGCAGGAGGGCTGGGAGCAATCCTGCTGCTACTCATCTTTCTCATCTCACTCTACAAATGCTACAAGATTGAGCTGATGCTTTTCTACAGGAGGCACTTTGGCAGTGAAGATGTAGACGGAGGTAAAGACAGAAGAATGTGTCTAAAAAAAAGAATGTGTCTTTTGGCCTTTTAACCATTATCTTCTTCACACTTTTTTCACCAGGACTTTTTTATCCAAAAACTCAATATCAAGCAAGCCGTGATGACTCTGTATGTGCCTTTGCGGGCTTGTATTCATAGATCCACTGAATGTACTATTTTGTTTAAAAGTAACTACTCACTAGTAGTTACAGATGTTTACCCCAGTGCTATCTCAGTGACGGCATTTCCGCTGCTGTTGGTAAAGAGGTGCACGGTGCAGTGACTTTACCGGGAAAGGAGGAGACAGTTTTTCAATTTGTTGCCCATTTAAAAAGAGATCAATCTCAGTATGTCATGGAATGAAGCCCACCCTCTGCTGCCAGATAGTGATACACAGCAACAAGGCAGGCTCGAAGCACCGTCTCTGAGCAACAATTAGGAGCGTAACAATCCTCAAATTGGAAAGCAACTTTCTGCTTTCTCTACAGAACATAGTTAACTTGTACTTCACTGAAGGATTTGTCTGTTTGTGTCCCAGTATGATTCCTCTGTGTTTTGCATTTTTGCTCTCTTTTCAAAAATTCTGGAAAGACAGAAGTCACCGGATTATTTCTACAGTAGTATAAATTATCCATTACGCCCAAGACTGTAGACTCAAACTTCCACATGATTAAGTCATGCCGTCAGGGACCGCTGATACAAGCTGTTTTTGATTTTTCCAACTTTGCTAGGTGGTTAATTTGCAAGGTTGGTTGCTAATTTGAAAGCTTTGTTTGATGTTTGGATCCTATCGAGCACAGCCATAGCCCTTCCAGTAAGTTTCAAAGCTGCGCATGCTCCTCAAAAGAGTTTCTGAAGCAGTCCTTCCTCACTTTCTGACTGAGCCACATTCCGGTTTCCACAGAGCATAATGACTAGGACTTAGCGAATATGTCACCAGCACTGTTCTTTTCCCTGTTATCTATTTTCTACCTTCTCAGTTCTTCCCACTGTCTTCTGGGAAATCATTTTGAGGTGGGAAGAGAGTATTGCTTATGCATTGTTTTGGGTATTTTTGTATCTACCACAATTTATTTCTTGCATACACTACATGGCCAAATCAATTTGACACCACTAGAAAAGTGGTCTTCTCTTTTCCAAACAAGAATGATAAGCAAAAAATACATACAATAGACAATAAAAGAAATGGTTTTCTGAGTTTGGTATGGAAGAATTTGACTGCGTACCGGAGACACTTATTGGGAACAGCATTTGCAAGAAAGGCCTTCTCCTTGATCATAAGTAGCTAACTTCATGAACGATCTTGTGACTCACTGGAAGGAAATCCATGTAGGCAAATTATAAAATTTAACAGTTTTTTATAGAAAACAAAGTACCGAACAGAAAATGTAAACTGACACAGCAAAGCACAATCATGTGTCCTGTAGAAAGTGCAAATGCAAGTTTTTTTCCCACAGCTGCCCTAAGTTACCAGTATTGGTAATCATCAAAAAAGTTATGTTTCTATAATGTCAAATCCTCCAGCATGAACAAATATTTTAATCAAAATTCTATTTTTCAGTTTTATAATTAATGTTACCTATGAATCTTCACATTCGCTGTTTTACAAAAAAAATTTTAAAAAATAATAAATCACGTTATTATTATTATTTGATTAAGGTAATTACATGTATTCCGGAACAGAAAAAAAATGTTTTAGTGGTTATATGGTCAGTTCAGTAAATTCAGTAGTTTCTAGCTTTCAAAAAGTTTTTGACAAATTTCTAAAATATTTGTGTTTTCCTGTTTTTATGGCAGGTGGTCTAATAATTGTGTTAAACACTGTATAAGAATTACACAAAAGGTATAACTTCCGACTTTACAGTATTTTACTTTTGTCTATAAATTTGCAGAAATTTCTGATGCATATTCTGTTTGGATGAAAATAACTGGTAACTATTTGAGGTGCCGTGCATAAGGGTTAAATGGCACTGCCATAACCATGACATCACATGACACTAAATGTGAATGTTTATGGATAGAGCCAATAAGTGTAAGAAAAACCAACGTTATTTTATTATTTTGAAACTATAATAAGGAGTGTGTAATTCTGGTTTTAGAAGTAGCTTTAAAAGTTGTAACTATTGTAGAAGTTAGCCAACGCAATTGCAAGAAATGTGTAAAGTCAGTTGTTTGGAATAAAATGCTCATCAGAGAATAAACGTGAAGTGTTCAGTGAAAAGGCCATGGCATTTAGTCTGCATATTTCATGACTGACTCTCCACTCTTTCTTCCTGTTCCTCAGAAAATAAAGACTATGATGCATATTTGTCTTACACCAAAGTGGACCCTGACCAGTGGAGTCAGGAGACCCGGGAAGAGGAGCGCTTTGCCTTGGAGATCCTCCCTGATGTTCTGGAGAAACATTATGGCTACAAACTCTTCATCCCAGATCGAGACCTCATCCCATCAGGAAGTAAGACTGTGTGTGTTTGTATGTATGCATGCTTGCACACATTTGAAATGTTTGTGCCATACTGTAAACAGTTGTATAGGTGTTTGTTTGTTTCTACTATATATTCTATATTGGGGGAAATAATTATTTGATCCCCTACTGAATTTGTAAATTTGCTCACTTACAAAGAAATGTCCAGTCTCTAATTTTATGATAGTCTCATTTTAATGGAGAAAGACTTTAAAATATTGAGTGACAATGAGCGAAATAAGTATTTGATTCCAGACCAACACGCTAGAATTCTGGCTCCCACAGACTGGCTGTGTGCCCACATGGCACACAGATTACAATCAATCAATTACAGATGCTTGTGATATCAAACGATTATATGCATAAAGCACAGAATCAATTTCTTGGGAAGACCAAGAAATGTGGTAAGACCAAACAGCTGTTAAAGGATGTCAGGGAGCAGCCTATAGACCTGCACAAGGCCACAATGGACGACAAGACCATCAGCAAGAATCTTGGTGACAAGGTGACAGCTGCTGGCGTGATTCAGAAATGGAAGAAAAACAAAACCTTGTGTCAACCTCAGTCTATACAAGATCTTCCCTCATTGGGTGAGGATGATCATGAGAAAGGTGATAGATCAGGTCAAAAATACACGGGAGGTGCAGTTGGGACCAAAGTCACCAAGAACATCATTGATAGCGCACAACAAGAGTTCCCACTGTTTAACAAGGCACATCTACAGGCCCATCCCTGCTAGTGGGCATCTAAATAATTCAGAGAAGGCATGCATGAAAGTGCTGTGGTCAAATGAAACCTAAATCAAGCTCTTTGGTATCAACTCGACCCGCCGTGTTTGGAGGAAGAGAAATACTGAGTATAACCAAAGGATCACCATCCTCCACTGAAGTGGAAATATTATACTTTTGGGCTGTTTCCCTGCTCAGTCAGAACACTGAAGGTGGGTCATGGATGGGTCTTCCAGCATGAGAATGACCCAAAACATGCCACCAAGGCAACAACAGATCTAAAGAAGAAGCACATTAAGGTCACAGAGAGGCCTAGCCAATCTCCAGACCTATAAACAAACTGTGGAGGGAGCTTAGAGTTGCCAAGCAGCAGCCAAGAAATGTAAAGGATTTAAAGTTTCTATAAAGAGGAGTGGGCCAATATCCATCCCACATCTCTCTGGTGCTTACCAACGAGGCTTTCTCTACAGAGTACCAAGTCATGTTTTGCTTAGGCATCAAATACTTCTTTCAATCTGTGACTTTTATATAATGTCTTTTTTCTGGAATTTGGTTGATGTTCTGTCTTTTCATTAAAACTAAATTACCATTACTGGAGATTGTTAATTTCTTTGGAAGCAGGGTACATGTATACATATACATATACATAGATTGTCACAGTCTGTTTTGTCTGTGTTGTTTGTTTTCACCATTGTTTTTCCACCGTCACTGTCTTGTGTTTCAATGTCCGGTGCTGTCAGGGCAGAATCAAGTAGAGGATGCTCACAAGTGATGAATAGATGAATATTTCAAAGTTAAAATAAGGGAAGAGGAGGGAAATGCAATATTCAATGCAATACTGTCAACAAGAACCCTTTTTTTCTTGTATTGTCTCAAACCTCTCTGGATTAAAGCACTAGATCATAGCATTTCTCACTAGCTGTTCCCATACTGTGTACTACAGATATGGGAATACAGTATGCGGTGTGTACCGGGAGCCGATATATTGAGCAAATTTATCATCCTCGCTGGTTTTTATCCATGTATTAATAAATCCATGAAAATTCTGTCTGAACATATTCTCATGCGTGCTAACTCTGTTTAGCAGTCTGTCTTTGCCAGTGGTACACAGTGTGCTCTAGTTAGTAGCGATGCTGTGTGTTTCTACTGTAGGCTTCATGTGAGAAAGATAAAACGCAAACACGTCCTAGCTGGTCCAGACAGAATTAAACATCAGTGGGTAATGTGTGAAGGCTCTGAGCCCTGCTGACTGAGCCGCTTCTATCCTTTAATCAAAAGAAAATTGCTGCCAGCACCACTGCCAAGTAAAATCATTGCAGATGAATGTCCAATCAGAGAAACATGGTATGTGATTAATCGTATGTGAAATAAAAAGATGACTGAGAGGGGACACAGCCACGCTTCTGACAGTGTTGAGCATGTTTCTGTGTCTGTAATGTGTTCTGCCTGTGACCTGAATGTTAAAATGTTTATGTTTAGGTCTCACCAATGAGCATTACCAGGATGACACGCGGCTCTTTAGAGGTACTCGCCTTCGGTCTTTTCCTCTTGCATCAGCTGCTTTCATGCTTAGAGTGGCACCATTGTGTGATCTGAAACATCAGGCCCGATTCAATAGCGAGCTCAGCCCTAATCCTATAAAGTGTGCAGCTTTATCAATCACTGGTTTGCAGTTAGAGCCATATGGATCTGCTCTATGTGCATAAAATGTTAATTTATATGCTGCACCTTTGTGCACACTTAAAGCTCCATATTAAACGGGTGTTAGTAGACCAGATACCTGTCACTGTCTTGTGTTTTGTGTCTGATGCTGTCTGTGTGTTCATCCATCACTGTGTTGTGGCCCTGTTCTCATTAGGTGAAAACAATGCTCACTGCAATGTTTTGCCACACTTGTGTCACATAAATTTTTGCTCTTCTCTTTCCTTACCGCTTCTTTCCCGCAGCCTACATCGAGGACGTGGCCCGCTGTGTAGACCAGAGCAAACGCCTCATCATAGTTATGACACCCAACTACGTAGTGCGGCGAGGCTGGAGCATCTTTGAGCTGGAGACACGACTGCGCAACATGCTGGTGACGGGTGAGATCAAAGTCATCCTGATCGAATGTGCCGAGTTGCGCGGAATCATGAACTACCAGGAAGTGGAGGCGCTTAAACACACCATTAAGACCCTTACTGTCATCAAATGGCGTGGAACCAAGAGCAACAAGCTCAACTCCAAGTTCTGGAAGCAGCTGCAGTATGAGATGCCCTTCAGACGCACGGAGCCCATGCTCACGCATGAGGCGGCACTAGACGTCAGCGAGCAGGGCCCATTCGGAGAGCTGCAGACTGTTTCTGCCATGTCCATGGCGGCAGCCACTTCCACGGCCATGGCCACCGCCCACCCAGAGCTGCGCTCCTCGTTCCACAGCACCTACCACACCACCATGAGGCAGAAACACTACTACCGCAGTTACGAGTACGACATGCCCCCAGGAGGGACCTTGCCACCTCTCTCATCTCTGGGAAACCAGCACACCTACTGCAACATCCCACTCACACTGCTGAACGGACAGAGGCCACCCGGGAAGAGCCGAGAGCACAGTCTGGAGGAGGGGCACGCCAACAACGCCATGCTCCCTCTGCTGCCCAGGGAAACCAGCATCTCCAGCGTCATCTGGTAATGGCAAGCAGACTCGGCGCCAGCTTTAGGAAGATTGGTCAACGTCAGACATGACGAGGTTACAGTCTGGCAGTTCTTAGGAACACAGTTCGAGGTTGTGATTACGGCAAAAAGCATTTGGATCCGTATGGCTCCGGCAGCTAGTCATGGAGGTAAAGCAGGTTCCTGGACGTGGTTTGTCTTGTTGTTCATTCGGACTGCACCTCGTTTCGAGAGGATGTTTTCTATGTGGAACTACAGGGGATAATGCGAACACACTGTTTCATTAACTAGCGAGAAATGGACTCACAAGGACTCCATGGTGAAGAACCAACACACTATGGCAATTATTCACAGGAACCAATACACACACACACGCATACACAGATACAAGAAATTGCATCCATACAAGCAAAAGGAAAACAGGGTCTGTACATATATTTCAATTTATTTGTAGCATCAGTGTTTTCCTGTTTTGTTCTTTTGTTTATTTTATTCAATCATGTTTGTTGCCTTCTCTAATGTAGGACTTTTGCTTTAACTTGTCATAAAGAGTTGTATATTTTTAATCTTTTTCTCTTTTTTTGTCTCTTTTTCTTTTTTTATTTCTTATTTTGTAACACGCTCGATAGGAAAGCCAATATGACATGTGCGTGCGCTGTTGTGTTCCTTTGTTTGTTTGTTTAAAAATCTTTGTTGTTTAAAGAGAACTTTTTTTTTTTTCGAACTTTGGGAAACGCCTGGACATTTCAGGAGCTTTGAGGAGCTAAAACTTGTTTTCGTTTACCTGTAAAAGGTGTATCTAGTTTAAAAGGAAACTCTCTCTTTTTAAAAAAAAAAATAGAATATGCAAAAAGAAGGAGAAGCTGGCAAAAATATATTGTCTCGTGGGACTGAAAAGGAGGAGTGGTTGGGGAGCAGCGCTCGTCCTCTCCAAGCAGATAGACTGGCAGATCTCTCTCTAAAGCTTCATATTTTCTATTGAAACAAACAGCCTTGCTGTTTTAGAGTGATAGTGAAATGCCTCACCTTAAAAAGAAATCTGTAGATTATTTTAAAAAGAATTCTATTTTTATAACTGAAAAGAGTTTGCTTGAGATGTCATACTTATTTGCATTTCATCTTCCATAGAAAGAGGATTTGTGTATAAGTGTTATGCTGGTTTTGTGCCCTTCGGTGTGGCTCCTGGTTTGTTAAAGAGATTAAGGTGGCTTTTGAATCCCACATGACAAAAAAATGTCCTCTGCTCTTCTAGATTCAAAGGTAAAGAATTTTCAATGTTTTGGTTTAAAAAAAAAAACAGTATTATTCCCATCCTGATAATTCATTTGGTTCATATGGATAGTTCATGTTTAAGGAAAGAAAAGAATTCCTTTTGTGTTTTGAAAGACTTTTTACATATATTTGAAGGTGTGATTTTTGAGTATGCATAGCAAATAGATATGTATTCTATATATAATATAGATATTTATATAAATATATAAACACAATTTTCACTTGGAAAGAAATGTCTATCTTTATAGAAACACAATCATGATCAGTTGCCCTTACTTTCTCACTGCACATTAAAAACATTGATTTCCTTTCGATGTTTTCCTTTTGTGTCCAAGTTGAACCAGCAGTAATTCATAACGCTTTTTTTTTTCATTACCACATGATTTTGTAATGGCTAGAGTCAGCTACATCCACCAGATGTGAAACAGGACATTTGAATCAGTGATCAGCCCTGGGAAATCTGGCACAGGGTAAATGAACAAGTGTTTCAGTACTATTGAAATAAGTCTTTAAACAAACTGTGCCTTGAACGTCCAGTTCATAGACGTTATAAAGATCTTTCTATACAGTCTATGATCCAGCTGCTCTTTCTGGTGGATAACACCGAAATGCTGTAATACTAGACTCATTGGAAGGTGGTGTCCATGTGTGTACAATCATTGCAACTACATTTGCCCTCTAAGAGAAGAGACGGGCACGTTTCTTGACCCTATGGTATAGTTGTGTCTAGAAATATGCCAGATCTAATCATATTCCTCTGTCCTCTATTTCCTCATCCTGTCAAGAAACACATTACGTAATTATACTGATAATTATTCTTTCTTGCAGCAAAATGTCAGTGCAGTGAAGAAAGGAGAAAGGCAGATAAGCAGACTGTTTAAAGGAGATGTTCTGGTATTAGATAGCATGGATGTAAATCATGGAATTTAACTAGAACTAAACAAAACACTGCAAATAGGTGTGGAAAAACATGTCAGCTCATCAGTTCATGCAAAACAAAAACTTTTTGTATCATAACTTCTAGTCTGAACTTTTTAAAAACTTGCCTCTGACAAATACTTATTCGTACTAAAAAACAAAACAAAGAACCACTGAGACAATAAAAACCCTGAAACTAATAAAAACTAAATTATTTTTTAAAAGAATAAAAATGAAACTGAAATGAGCAGCTCTTCTTCTTCTTTCAGCTGTGCCTCATAGGGTCGCCACATCAGATCATCTGCCTCCATGTTGCCCTCCCTAGCATTCGCCTCTGTCACACCAACCCTCCGCATGTGCTCCTACACTACATCCATGAATCTCTCTCTGTGATCTTCTTCTTTTCACTCATTCCTGGCAGCTCCATCTTCAACACCCTTTGTCCAGTATAACCATTATCCCTCCTCTGTACATGTTCAGACCATCTCAGTCTTGCACCTTTAACTTTCCAAAACACTCGACCTGAGCTTTCCCTCTGATGTGCTCATTTCTAATCCTTTCCACTACTAAAGAAGCATCTGAGCATCTTCAACTCTTCAACCTCCAGCTCAGTCTCCTGTCTGTCAGCACCACCATCACCAAGCTATACGTCATAGCAGGCCTCGCTACCATGTTGCAAACCTTCCCTTTTTAACCTTACTGCTATCGTTCTGTCACAAATCCCCCCTGGTGGCAAAGTTAAACAAAAACAAACAACTTCAATGACTTGAACTCTGTAATTGTGAACTAGCTTAGTTGGCCATTTGAGAGAAGTGTGACATACAAACATACAGGTAACGATGGAAATCAAACGGTGTCTAAAACAAGCACCATGAAATTCTCTGGTTTGAAGCTACCTGAATAGGTTTGCTGCATGCTCTCACCCTTGCTCTCTCCTAATGTTCACTGCCTTTCAGATAGAGCCAGAAATGCCAAGTGAAGATAAACCTTTAACAAAAAAAAAAAAAGGTGCTGATATAAGAAACAGCTTGGCTTAAGGCCAGGCAGTTTCAGTTGACGCCTGACATTTGCCTGCACTTTGGTGGGTGAGTGCTGACAAACAGTGCCATCTCCTGGGGATACACACTACCTACAACGGGTGTCTGAACACTGGTAAACACAGAGACAGAAAGCAGATTTACTGATGTCTGCCAACCCCAGGAGAAAACACAGAAACTGGGGCAGAGGAAGAAAAAAAAGCAGGAAAAGACTGAGTAGAAGGCAGGATGATGAAGAAATGAAGCTAAAGACAGTGTTTATAAAATTCAGCCTGTGGACATTTTTGCTGGAGACAAGGGCGGTGGTGGTGGTGCTGGGGAGTGCTGCTTTCAGACTATGCAAAAACCAAGAGAAATTGTAACACGTACCAATTTAAAAAGAAAGAAAGACAGAAAGAAAGGGGTCTCAAATGGTGGAATTTGCTTTGGTTGTATTCTTTTTGTAATAAGTGATGCCAACTCAGGCAAACACCCACAACCTATTGTCAGCCACAAGAAAAGCAGCCTCCTGCCAAACCAGTGTGGTTTTATTAGCAGACACAGGATTAATAGACTCTTTATTACCCAGAGCAATTACAGGCTTAATTGGAGAGAAAATAGGCCCCGATGAGAAGGAAAAAGGCAGAGGAGATAGACGGGATGGCTTCAAAGTCCACATGAGCACATGTGCAAGGCCGTTTTCGTGTGTGTGTGTGTAAATACACCTTCATGTGCATGGTTTTGTTTTGTTTTTTCTTGCCATTTTACTCTTTGCAATGCCTTATCTGTCCACCAGGAGGTCTGTGAGCTATTTCATCAGTATCTCAAGTTTTCTGTGCCAGCCTTTATTATTGGCATCACCTCCTCCCTTTAGTGCTTTGCTGTTCTGCTTGCATGAAATTAATAGCAACAAATTAAGCACAGAGACACTGCTTTTTCTGCTTTAGGGCACCATTGAAAGGTCTACTGATCTCGAAAACATCTTTTCAGAGAGTTTTTGATGTGGAGCCAGAGAAGGGAAACAATTTGACTGAAAATTCAATTTGATCAACTTTTAGTGATTCACTGTTTGCTTCCTTGTTCGACAGAACAGTAAATACGTTGATTTAAACGCATGCGTTTATTATAAGACTACGAGGCTGGTGACTGGAGAGCTCCCGATACAGCATTATAGTCATTTCAGAAATGTGACTCATAACTTTTTGTTCTTTCCAAGAGCCGTAATTTAACAAGGTTGCCTCTCGCCGAAAGCCCCCTGCTTTGTGGCTTTTTAATAAGGTAGCTCCTCCTGCACTTTCTCCTCTCTCTGCTCTCACCTCGGAGACAGCCAAACGCACACACTCACACACACAGTCACCTCCCATGTTGTTGCGCCCCATTTTTTAAGGTGTACCCAGAAACAGGAGGTCCTTTCATACTTCGGTGACCGAGATGAGAAATCTTCTCCAATTTTACTCCCAACGAAGAAGCTTTTCTGCTTTCATCCCTTTCTTTCCTTTCTCGTTTGGGAATCACGGTGGAAAGCAGCTAAGCACTTTTACACACGTACCTAAGTGGTTTATTTGAGTAGTTCAATTTTCTGCCAATTAATATCGTTGTGATTTACTAATGAGTGATCTAATTAATTCAAATTAAATAAATCTGACCACATTGTGATATATTATTGTAGGCTAATATCCCAGCAGTATATGAAACGTAAAATCTGCTCCATGTTGATGCAACATTGTGACACAAATGTAATCGTTTTTAATCCAATAATTATCCGATCATATGCCATTTTACTTCTGATGTGTGTATAATGCAGGACCATTACTTGAAGTAGTTCTTTAATGTGTGCTACCTGCTCCTTAATTAAAGTGTGTGAGAACTTCTACCACCATTGTTTGGGTATAATATAAAATGCTAACAATCTGGCCGGGTTATTTTATTGGTGCTGCCACAAAGCGAGACCAAGCGCAGGCTCAGGCCATCGGACCTCTGAACAGTGATGAAGTATTATAGCTGCTAGATGAGATGTTCAGGGACTTAGCTTCGTAACATCGTGTGGCTATGGTGTAACAGCAGTAAGTCCTTGTGCCATTGTCTGAGATGAACATTCACTCAGTAGTGTCTCATTACAGAGGTCTGGTTTAAACCATAGGTGTATTTTATGCGGCGTCTCTATGAGCTTTTGTTCTGTTGGTTACAGGGAGATATTTTTTTTTTTCTCCAGCGAGCAAGTTGATACCTTACCCCACTGTGCCCACACTGTGATGGCCAGACTACGAGGAACAGGAACATTACCTGAGGTCATTTTCCTCAACCACTTTTGCCCCTTTCTGTGTGCATGACAGGGGAAGTTGATCCATGTGACAATCGCTACACGTTGTATACTGTTGCACTCTGGTGGCCTAACAGGGCATTTCACCTGAATTCAGAAGTCCTGCATCTGTGTTTACTCCACAACTTACCTCCTACACTGCACAGTGAATAGCTGCCGCTGCTAAACCAAGCCCTGACCTTCTGAAGATAATCTGTAGTTGATGTGACTGAACTGTAGTTGACATCAATCAGTGTGACTCATATTTTTGGAGGCGACGTGTGTCAGATTTCTTAAGTACTTTCTGCGTGTGTACTGAGACACATTATCTTCCTTCGTAAGAGTTTGTCCAGGGCTGATTTCACAGAGGAAAATGTGTCAGCAATGACGGAGCAATTATTACTCACATACATAGTAGTTTGTTTTTTTAGTTGTTGTTTTTTATTATCATTATTATTATAGAAAAATATTTTATATAAAAACAAATAAGTTATGAATTACATGAGCTGCTTTATATTTTTCCTCTATTATGACATATTCTTCCCTCAGCACATTCTCTCTTTCTTTCTCTGTGCCGCTCATTCTCACATGCACACTCACACTTGCTTGTGTTGGTCATTTCACAGTCACTGAAGATTTCCCAAATACATTTGTCTTTAATTAATTGAGTCCCACACGTCGTCCTCACCTGCCAACCAATAAAATCTTTCAGAGCATTTCAGTCCATCTGACAGCTGAACCTGCTGAATTCATCTCAGTCCACTATGGACCCGTGACCTACTTCCCGTAGAA